GAGAACTCACAAAGTAAGTGAAATAATAAAAACATGGAGAGAAAGGTCTAAAACCATCACTGCATTACAGGTAGATGTAATAGGGGAAAGCACGCACATATAAAAAAACAAAGTAGAAGGGAAAGGCCACAGTGCTCTATTGCTTTACAAAACCGTACTTAATCTGAGCACTGCCCAGGCTGATGTATATCAGCCTTTCTACAGGAGAGATAACAAAAATAACAATGGAAGCAACATTTGCGGGAAGGGTTGAATAAAATCACTTACAACAAATCTGTAGGGCATAGCAAGATTCTCAGTGCTCAAAACGCAGTTACCCCTGGCTCCTTTCTTCTCCCCAAAGCTTGTCAAAGCTCCTTCCAGTTTAATAGACTCCTGGTCTGCAAAATGTTTGAGTCATTACCTTTCCAAAGGAGTGTCTGAACCTTACTTTTTTGAAGAACCGTTTTGTGGCCACCCTTGTATCATCTCCCCTAAAGTAAAAATATCCTACATACCAACCATGTCCCCCAAACCACCCTCTTTATCTGATGCCCTGAAGCATGAAGTGTCACAAGCGTATGATTAAGGCATAGCCTGGCAAGGCCAAAGAAAACAGGTATGCCGCAAAGTGCAAACCCACAGACTGGGCTACTGAGATCTATCATTTTACAACCAGTTGCAATGTTCTCCACTTTGGTACTGACCAAATATGCGCAGTGGCTCTGCAACGTCATCACCCAGCCCTAATCTGGACCCTTTATTTGAAAGCTGCTTTGAGGGATTCGGTGCTTCTGTGTTGTCTTAAACAGCAAACAAACCCAGAGTTTAACATTCCTTGAATACAAACACTAGTACACACCTTATTTAAATCAGTTGACTTTTGGTTGTTCCAGAAACAAGCACCTCCCAGTGAAGGTAATACAGTATTTAAAAAAAGAAATGCATCGTGTTACAAGCAATTTAAAAACAACTCATTAAAAATGATAAACAAGTAGTGGCGAGTGAAGGAAAGAGTTGGCACAAACGTAAAAGCCCGTTAGGCAATAAGGTTGGTAATCCTTACTTACATTCTCACACTCTTTTCTTCAGAAAGACAGTGCCCATGCACAAGTTACTCAGGCTCAGTGCTTCAACTAACATTACATACCTAGCACACACTGGAACCGATGTGTCCTTGTCACCTTATCGATTAATAAAACGTGACAAGTATTTGTTACAAGTTTGTGAGATGTTACTAGAATCACTCTTACATCTATCGAAATGAAATATGAATGTTCTGCAATCCCGTAAGCATGAATTAGCAGCTAATTCAACTTCAGTTTAATATCAGTAAGCCAGCTATTTAAAAGTTTGATTCCTCAGACATATGCACACAGCTCCTGAAACACACGACTTTCATAATTACTTAAATGCAAAAGCTGTCAATACTAGGTCTCAAAAAAAAAAAAGAAAAGAAAAGAAAAAAAAGTGTTTTCTGTCAAAAGAGATGCATTGAAAAGAAAGACCTAAATCTGCTTTAATATACCCTCAAATGCACACTCGCCACCTGTTCAGTGCATATAATTTCCCAAGAAGAAACAAGTCAATTATACATATGATGTGAGGTCTTCAAAGCTGCCTGGGAGAGCAACACTCTTCATTCCAGTGACAGCTGTGGGCCACAGTCCCCTATGGCAAGCTTTGAAAAATCTCAGCTTTACAGATCAATTGGCAGCAAGATTCTCATTCTTTGTAAAGCCTCCTGGATATTCTTTAATTTGTAACATGCCTGTAATGCAGTATATCTGAGACAGATGATGCTGAAGCACTACAGACTCATAGGGGAAGCAGCACTTTATTAAGGAGACAGCAATCCTCCCTATTGACTTATGAGTATGTACTTTCCAGTTTAACTCTTCACTGTTCACCAAAACCCGCACCAGAACCAGACGAAGTCCAGCAGTAGCTTTGCTGCGCACATTGCACTTGCGTGTCCTTTCACTGGCACTCAGTTTTACAATATGCTGTATATAAAGACTTGAACTGCAGCTAAAAACTGAATTAACTAAATGAAGAAATGCCCTTCTCCTGGGAGAAAGAGTGACTGCTTGGCACAGCTGACCTGTGAATAGCTGGTGCTGCCCTACTGGTGACCCCTAATCTGAGGTTAAGAGACAGTCTGGGAGTTTTACAAGGGAGCAAAGCTATGCTGGTGAGGAAGGCTGCTTTGCTCTTTGTTTTGTTTTTCATTCAAACACCCCACCCAGGTGGGGGGATTCTGTGCCATCCTGCCTGAGTGATAGGAAGACTTTGTGGAGCCGTCACTAGGACAGGAGCTCTCTCTAAGAGGCATGCTATTCAGCTGTGACCTATGAATATTGTATGGCACTGATTTTCATACAACTTGTTGCTACGAATATTGAGTTTCATTGATTTCCATATAATTCACTAGACAAGAGGTCCAACGAAGCAACAGATTCAGCATCCATCCTAAGTGTTCAACCGTCTACATATTATTGGAAAATAAGTTCTGCTAAGAATCACACCACTTCAAAAAGGCAAACAGAAATATTAAAAGCTTTGAAAGATTCAACACTCTCCACCCCAGACACACAGCATCATTTGCACTCCCACAGAAGTCCTTTAAGGTACTTCAGAAAAAGCCCAGACTAAGGAAAAGGTGACACACTCTCTACCACTTACTACACCCCTCTACACTGCCTTGCTAAGAAAGGGAACACAGAATTAAAAGTTGTCTGTGAAGGAGAAAATACCTCAGGATTTCCCAGTACATATGGGTGTAACTCAGCTTAGTGAGGCTTCCTGAAAAGCCTTTTTTTTTTTTTTAAACACTGTCCTCTTAAAAAGAATTACTACTTTTTACAGATGCTGTAAAGTTTACCTGGATGATTTTATAAGGTGGATCGAGAACTGACTTTTCCTATTCCTAGATTATGTTTAATATCCCGACTAACTTACTCTCCAGACCATACAAAATATTGGATGCTATACCAGGAATCCACCATACCTGTACACTGAACTGTCATCTCCCCAGCAATAGCTACACAATACAATTCTCCCACATTGCCAGGTACTGAAACTGCCTGCTGGTAATATCCCACATCCCCCTGAATTCGAGTTCTAACACGAAGAAACTTTTTCCTGTAGTAACAACTTCTCTCAATCACTTCTCTTGTTCAAGAAGCCAAGCAATTTAGGGGAGGGAACTGTCACGTTCAAATCCAGAGCAAGCAGAATGACTGCTAAATATTTAGAGACGCTTAAACTGGGAGGTGGGAGAGGAAGAGCAATGGCAACATTAATCTGGTGGCTTTCTGCCCGTATTTCAAGACATGATAGCAATTATTTGCTGGTAAACCCTTGCCTCATTCAGAACACAGAATTTGTCTGCTCTGCAGACTCTGCAAAGAGGGTTATAGTCTACAGGTTGTCCTGCTTATTAAGTAGGTGATCTGCTACATTAAGTGAGTTAAGCTAGTTTACATGTCTGAAAATGCCCTGGAGAAATGGCTTCTATTCATCTCTGCTACATAGTTCCTGTGATGCTGGTTATTGCCTTCTCCTGAACCGGTTTCCCTGTTGAAGAGCCCAAGACCTGACCTGCATTAGGCACTGCCACCCAAGCCAAGTGGACATCCAAAACTGATGAAATGCTAGAGTGTCAAATACTCTAGGGAAACAAAATAATCTAGAAGCTAAAACCTGCAACTTCAGCGTCCAAACTCAGTGGAACTTAAGCCTTCTGCCTTAGCTCCCCACCTATAGGACAGTAACACCGGCTCCTTGTTCTGTGGAAGCCATCGGAAAAGACCAGTGGTTATAAGAGGTTTCTACTCCAACAGAAGGATGAGGTAATTAGTAACTCTGTCTTGAGATGAGGTTTTGATTAGCTCCTGTGTGTAGGCAACAAGACTTCATCCTAAAATGCAAAACTGGCAGCATGAAGCCATGTTTTGAAGGACAACATGGAGCAGGAGTACAAAACAGTCACGACCACAATGCCATTGCTTTCACTTAAGCAATAGGCACACGGTGGAAATTTCCTCCCCTGCCCTTTCTGTCAGTCTGCTTTAACTGGCAGCTGTCACCACTCCCACTCCACAGGAAAATGAAGAGGTCCTCAGAAGGGGGAGTGAAACCGTGAGTCACCCCCAGGGAGAGGATCAAGGAAGGGCTTCACAAAAAAGTGCACGTCTGGAGTCACCTCACCTTCCCCAGTGCCAAATGCTCCTCAAGGAAGATGGCAGGTAGGCAGGTTGGCCGGACACCCAAGATGAAGCACAGCTGTGTTACACGGATTAGGAGGAGCGCATCACTAATTGTTATTTTGATTACTGCAGGCAGCCCCAGCGCAGTGCGGGTTGCTTAGCAACATTTCTCAGTCCTTGCGAGAGCCAGCATCCCAGAGCCAGCATCCATTTCAGAAGTAGCCTCAAGGAGCAACACACCGGCATAAGCAAGCAGGGAATGTGGTCTGCAGGGGAAGCCTGGCATACGAGATGCCAAATCTCATTTTCATTTGCATTTATTGTACTTGCAATAAACCACACAATCATCTTTAACATCCTCAACTAAAACTGTATGAGAAACACAAGCAAGTCTTACAGGGTGCACGTGGTAATTAACATTTAGTTCAGGAGCATTAGAGAAAAAGAATCAATCCTGCCAATTACCAACTGGCAGATTAAGTACTACTTGTATCGGTAAACACGCCTGACTAGCTTGGAAAATAGTTACGTAAAAATGACATAAACCAACACTGTGTACTTGGGGAAAGTAGCTTTGAAGGCCTGGACTCAGGCTACTTGTAACATGACGACTAAACACTAACAATAAAGACACAAAATACTTGAAGCAGAACACACACACGCAGAAACCACCACACACCACTGCACCGAGATCACAGGCATTACAGGCATACTCCCAAAAAGCACAAGGAAGACCAAACAATGAGAGTTATTTATGTATATTTTAAAAGAGCACTTAAAGGGCTTTTAGGAAAAAGGCATTGTGCATACCCTCCTCTTCTGTGGCGCTCCATGTGCTTGGTGATTTTGTAAGGTAGAGACCTTTCTCCCAGGTTTTCTAGGTTCCTCACAACGGCTCCTCTCTCCATAAGAGCCTCAACAGTGCGCTTCAGCACAGCTGCAGTCTCAGGCTTTAAAAGAAAAAAGAAAGTGGGAAATGTACATAAATCTGATTATTCTTATTATGTGATTAAAAGGACACCTATACTTGCATGGCACAGCGCTGGAAAAGATCATTCCATAACCTGGGAGGGCAAAGTGGAAGCAGAAGACGACGTCCTCCTTAGGAAGAAAGCCTTTAAGAACAAACAGACAATACTTCCGTGAATTATGGCAATGGGAAAGTTTCCAACAATTCAAAGTTTCCCAACAACAACAGGAAAAATGAAATAGTTAATGGATTTAACTTACCTGGTATCACTTTGGCTGCCACTGGCACATGGTGTAAGTAAATATATGTGGCAAAGACCAGTTATGCATTGGCAACAGTTTTAAGGCCCCTGGACCATCTATGCTCACTGTTCACCACAACTGTAGTGAACATTGTGGAGGGAATACTAACCCGTGGCTTGCTACAGAGACAACAGTTAGCACCATATTCATTTCATGTTGTCCTTTCAACTGCACGTGTGTAATAGATATTTGGACCCATTGCTAAATCATTGCACATCTCATTACTTTTACCTAGCTGACATCCAAGCCTTTTTAAGACTTAAGGAGCTGACGTGTAGTAATTAGTCTAACACACAGAGATTTCACTCCTTAGAAAAACAAGTTTGAGGGACAGGCAGCCAAAAAACAGTAGGTAAAACAGATGCAATGTTTTTTTGCTGTGTGTCAGGGCTCTTTAGAGCGCTGAATCATTTTGGTAATGACACTCAACAATATCTATAAAAATGTTAATAAAGTAAGAATTAGAATGTTTTGAAGACAACAGCAAACTTACACACTCTCAGCAACAAGAAGTATTTTAAGAAACAGATCTCCTACAGAAAAAGGATGCTAAACAGATGTCCAGCTAAACACAAACCAAACTGCATGGCCTTCTTCTGTGTTCCTTGCAACATTTCGTATTAAGATACATTCCCAAGTGTACTTGGCCAGCAAGATGGCAACAGCTGTAAAGGGAAAAGTAATTTAAGAGCTGATTTTTCAGCTTTACTCAGATTTTATTTTGTTAAATCACACCACCATAATAATTTCACTTCCCTTCTCAGCCACAAGAAAACTTGTGTGACCCTTCAATCACCTTATACATAGGATGACTGAAAGTTAAGTTTCCTAATTCTCAGGTAGAGATCTACAACTTGACTAAAAAAGGGTTATTTAATGTCCAGATCCCATAATGGAAATCGCTGGAAAAAGATGATAACAGAATCTCGAAACATGCAGTGCAGCCAGTGTTCCGGCATGTGAAAGTTCTCTTTCATTTTTTTGAGGATACAATAGGATATGAAAGAGCTTTTAAATGTAGAACAGAGATGTTCAACATACGAGTCTCTGCAAATGCTGACTGCTCTTTGAAAGATCTGAAGTACAGAGAGACTGAAACCTTTTCTTGTTTCCATGGGCTAACTGCCCTGCGGCACTCGAGTCAATCATGGGATCACGCCTACTGCTCCTCACTATCAATCAGAAAATTTATTCCCCTCTAGCTGCATAAACTGTGTGGAAAATAAGTTTCCCAAAAAGAGACTAAGCAGTTACAAGGTCAGCAAAAACGCCTAGGCCTTTTTTCCAACATATGTTTAGATTGTGTTATAAAGCTATTACAGAGGCCAGACAAATACGTTTACACATCAAGAAATGTTGCTACCTGCCACCATTCTTCAATGCATTAAAACTATTGTTTCTCACTACAGACAAATACTAAAGGTATATCTTGTCACAGCATGAAAAGTTAGGATAAAGGGATTACAGAAATCATATTTTAGTTCAAACTCGGGAATAACGCTAGTTTTCAATTGACCTAGGATCACTGCCTCCATTACCACTTATTAGATTTTCAAATACCTTTCATGCTTAGCACATCCTTTCCCAAAACATCTGCAGAACTAATTGGGTATTCTTACAACTCTTTTTGGCCTCTTGCCACAAAGGAAGACATTCCCACAGATGTTACAGGAGTCTCAATTTCTGAGATTTCCAAAACTCATTCAAGCTCAGCTGGAACAAAACCGGTGTGTGCAAAACGTACAAAGGAGACTGATACAGATGGACAGTCACATTGCAACCATACAGCCTTTTGCTAGAAAAACAGTGTAAAACCAATTCTGTAAACCCATGCGGGCACTCACATGCCAATGCTCCAGCTGACGATGCCGACCAAATTAATACTTCCTTTTCTCCCTTTAAATCTCTCCTCTCAAATACTTCTGCATACTAGATGCAAATAATAGAAAGTATTCAATCAAAAAAAGGATTTCTTCAAGGACTGAATCCTTAGTCTTCTCTGTACCCTCATACTTTGCAATACTTTTCATCCTCTAGTATGTCTGACAATGACCACCAGGCAGTCATATACAGTCCCCAATCTCTCTATAAACCAAAGCAGAAGGTCAAGCAAATACTGTTAGAGAAGAACTGGGAAGCAGCAGCTATGGTCTGTTACTCCCTCCGTACTTTGAGCAGTACTCAAGGAGTGGGAAGTTGGCTGAGCAGTGATATCTGTTCGCTGAGCCGACAAGACTGAAGATGAGGGAAAGAATGGAGAAAAGCCAACTCTGGAGACCAAGTAGTGTCTTGATAATAATGCCAGCAACCAGGAGAGAGCATAAAATAAAATCTCTTACTCTGAGAGTCACACCCACATGTTGTTTTGCTATATTGGAAAATGTTCTTTCAAACTTTTGATATTGGAGAAACATCAGTAACAGCCAGAGAAATGGAGCAGCTCCACCTTACTTGACCATGTCCTCAACACTTGGCAACACAAATGCCAAAACACAGGTGGAGAGAGGGAAGCAGAGGCTCTTTTCTTAAGACTTTCTCCATTTCTACCCATGCTCCTTATGGCTGTTTTAGCTTGACTTGCATGGCACAAGGGCGAGAGGTGATGGCCCAAACTATAGAGTGGTTTTATGTTGGTTCCATCAATGCAGGATCTCAAACCTTTATAAATCAAGAGCTACTGGTAAGACCCCCTCAATCTTTTTAAAGCAGCAGCTTCACACAGACAAGGCAAATACTAGGGTAACAGAGCTGCTGGTGATATCCGTTGTTTAATCCTGTAAGAACCATTACAGAAATCTGGTTTCAAGAAAGAAAAGGGAAAGAACAACTGAGTTTGTGAAGCAGACACTGAGGCAAGCATTACTAACTAGAAGGTTTTCCCTTTAAAACAAGAATCTGACAACAACCATTAGGATTTTACTTACATAGTAAGGGAAAAGAGCAATTTTAGAGGGAAAGGGCAGCTAACCTAAGAGCTCTGATACTTGTGCACTGCAGCACACCTGTAGTGCATCCATCCCCAGACTTGAAAATACACTCCTGGAAAGCAGTAGGATCTGCCATTTCTCTCCCACTGTGGCTGTTGTGTGCAGTTAGGTTACAGAAGCCTCCATGGGGCTCACAATTATCACAGGAGAAATTTGTCAGGTCAATGAATAAAAATACCATTGACTGCTGTTACTTGTCTCCCACTGGCATACAAAATGCTGATCCATAAACAGAGCTCTGTCCAAAAGAGGTCTTAATTGATTGAGACCTTAAGACAATCAGCTGTATGTCCAGCAGTGGAGTTGCCTGACCCATGCTTCTTAACAACCGTGCAGATTTAAGTTAAAGGTTATCGGGTAAACTTACTCCTCTGCATCCCCCATAGCCTCAAATTACACACAAACCTTTTGTCTCTTTTCTACATGCCAACAGATCAGCACATTCCCTGAGTGGCTGCATGTCCAACATGATGTGCAGTTTCTAAACACAACGAAGCCGAAGATCAAGTCCCATGTATTTAAAAGCAAAACAAAAAGAACAAGAAAAGAAAGCCACAGATTTCTACATTAAGGATTGTAAAATATTACGTGTTTTTGCAACCTCCCCACTTGTGGCCATACTTTGAAAATATAAACTAATTGTTGGGTTTGAAAGCTTGTCACTGTAATCCCTCTCATTCTTCCTCTCCAAAAAAGATCATGGTTTATGATAGCTTTCCTAAAGCCATCCAACAAGCTATATATAGGGTAGCCATTGCTAACCATAATATCCACAGACACAGGTTCCTTGGTTTGCCTCAGAGCCAGACCAGTTGAGGACATAGGAAATGGTATTGCCTGGCTCCCAACCCAGGAGCCACAACATTTTTTCCTGAACAGCCAGCACTAATTCCAGTACCACAGATGTGGGAGAGAAAAGGAGAAAATGGAAGCCAGTGCCAGGATATGCATGCCGGAGAGCAGGAAGCGCTAGCAAGAACGCGCAAGGCCTGGTATGTAATTCTAGTGCTGGTTCCCCCTCTTGCGTGCATAGTCAAGCCAGAGCCCTTTCAACTGGCTTCACCCTTAGTGAACTTGGTGAACTTTGCTACTGAACCTGGTTCACTGTCACTCGGCCACAGTTAACTTGTCTTAAAAAGGTACAACCCTATGGACCTGATGGAGTGGTGGAAGGGGAAGGATGTCACTGCACACTGTCCAAGGACTCTTCCCTGGAGTTGTGGAAGGGGAAGGATGTCACTGCACACTGTCCAAGGACTCTTCCCTGGAAAACTGTCCCAGAAGAACTGAAGGAGTGTTGTCTATACACCAAAACTCCTCACTCTTCTACCCCCACATTTTTTAAACTTACAGCTGCCCAGAAAGAATATGTTAACTAGCGTGTCAGCCCTGTATCTGCTGGGCAAAACAATCACAATAGAGGTATGCTACAACACAGACTTTCTGTGTGTCACTGACTTTCTCCATGGATGAGGATCACAGCAGCCACATTTACCGGGTGGCTGCTCTGCCAGGGAGACTCCACACGGCTGCTGCTGATGCCACAGGAACTGCACACATTGAGATAGATCATCAGGCACCTTTCCACCAAAAGTCCTGCTCAGTTTAAAACTCCACTATCCCCATGAAGTTTTACGTATCTCCAAGTGTCACACAAACCAGAGTTGAACACCATGCTCTAAGCACTTCCT